CACGGCGTGTTACAGGGATGGTTTTACTTTTACATATACATATCACACTAGTACTGCAGTTGGCATCATTCCTTTAACGGAACTACATAAAATGAGCCAGTATTGTCTACATTCTCCATGATACTGCGAGAAACAAATCTATCCATTTGGATGACAGATGGCGGTACGTACGGACTTTTAAATTGCCGGCAGCCCTCTGCAGCCGGAATTTAAATGGCCCTACATTGCAGACTTTCAGAAAAAAATACATATTTTCCGTTCTACGCAACACAGAAACAAGAACTAAAAACTACCTGAATGACAATAAAATTTTCTACATATACACAAAAGAGAAATTTTTACAAATGAAAATAAGCTCTGTTTATTTTGCCATGAAATGCAAAATATAATCTTTATTATATGTTATGAAATTCCAAAGGACTTACCCGTAGTTTTTTCTTCAACCTTGAGACATGATGATATTGTAAATATAACCACACAATAATACAATAATATTTTGTTCAGACTGTAGGCTAGATTGAACTGCGTCACTTCACAGTTTACGATACCTCAGACTCTGACTCGCGTGTGCCACTTCTCGAAGCAGTCCGCGACACACAGCGCAACGTCACACTTTTCACAATAGAAGAGCGTGCTCCTGCTTTTCTTATTTTGCGAAACAAACAACGTCTTTCTTTCCCTTTGGTTTGCCAGTGTTGTGAATGTTTCACCTCCAGTCGACTCAGTTGGGCCCCAGATAACCTTGGCCTCCCCCGAGAAATGCCACTGACCGTGATATTCGCCTTGTGTGATGGAAGAATCATCTTGAGGGAGGGGGGTTTCCAGCTAAATCGAATAAATTATGTTGATTGACAAAGCGATACTCTCACCTATTAGTAATACTAGCAAAATAGTGATGCAAAGTAATTATAATACTAGTCGAAAGAGTGGCAGTCCGACACTGATACCGAAAGTCACAGTGACAAAGTTGCGTTTGAATCACAAAGTAATACTGGCTCAGTGGGTTTATACCTCTTCCAAGACACAAAATAAAAATGATATACAAAGAAATATTAGACAATCCGACACTGACTTCCTAACTGATAATTCGTCACTGAAAACCAATCCTTGCATGCGTCACACCTCCTTGAAGGCTCTGCAGGCGCTCATAGGCAAGCACCGATGAATATTTCCTCATCAGTTCTCGAAACAAAGCTGGGTTATATTTGGCTGACAAGGTCATAAACAGTCATATCTAAACGTAAATAGTATCGAAACCAGTACCCTGATAAAACGATTTTATTGTTCAGAGCTAAGGAATGAACCACTGACATGACCTTATGAGGTTTGTTTTGGTTTCAAACCCAAGGTCAAACTGTCAGCACATTCAAAGGGAGCAGTGTCCTGCCTTATACAAATATAACATTCGGTCACAAGGGGGTCACAAGATATACAGAGTGTCTCAGGAGGAATGTACCACACTTCGGGAGGGTGTTCCTTATGTTAAAGTGTGCCGATATAACTCAAAACACCTATGTCCAAAGTTGAACGGTTACGGAGATAATGGTCAGAGAATTGTGAAAATTTGAAAGGTGTTACACACTTGTTGATTACCAAATATATATTAAAACTGGCAGGAATATGTGGTTTCTGTAATGTTAATAATGTACGTAACATCACATTAACTTGTGAGTGACATGAAGCCATTAAATTGAACTACAAAAAAAAAAACTCGCACGCCATGTCACAGTTGTCCTTAGGGTTCCAAGCACTATACATGACACATGAATGGCAAGCGCAGTCGTAACATTTCTGACTGCGCGTTCGGATATGCGAGTGTATGCGGCTAGAGTGACTCGTCATCACCACACTCAAGGACAAACATAGATAAGACTTGTCAGCTGAGTGGTATGGTGCGTGGACCCGCCAGAAGACCACACTTTTCTCTGGCCAATATCTCCGTAGCCGTTCAACTTTGGACATAGGTGTTTTGGGTTATATCGGCATACTTTAACATAAGGAACACCCTCCCGAAGTCTGGCACATTCCTCCTGGGACATTCTATATATAACAATCGTCCGTTAAAGGTACTGGAAGTCAGCAGTGGCTCCAACGAAATACTAAATACGATTATATCTGTATCTAACTAGTTAACTACATTTAGCCGAGCCTTTCTTGAGAAGTCGCCAGTTATGCAGCTACTCAAGAATTTCCCAACATTTTACGGAATTTTAAGGTTCAGCACCGAGGTCATAAGGCCCCTTCACTGGCACATATCCTGAGCCAGACTAATCCAGTCTATATCATGCCATCCTACATCTCTAAGATCTAATTTATTATCATCTACCCTCCTATGTTTTGATCTCCCTAGTGGTCTCTTTCCTTCTGACTTTCCCACCAATATCCTATATGCACTCCTCTTCTCCCATGGGAGCTACAAGCCCTGCCCATCTTATCCTCCTTGATTTGATCATTCTAATTATACTTGGAGAAGAGTACAAGTTATGAAGCTCCTCATTATGTAGTTTTCTCCAACCTCTTGTCACTTCTCCCTTCGGTCCAAATATTCTCCTCAGCACCCTGTTTTCAAACACTCTGAGTTATGAAGAAAGCCGTCTTCTGAGATGTGGCCCCGTGTAGAAGTTGTGTCGATGAGTAGCCTCCCCATAGGGGAACACTATGTAAGATTTTAGGTTTTCACGGCGGTGACTATGAAGAAAGTCTTCTGGCTTTCTTCACGGCGCCACATCCCAGAAGACGGTTCTTTTCATAGTCATCGCCGTGAAAACCTCAAATCTTACACTCTCGGTTATGTTCCTCACTTAATGTCAGAAACCAAGTTTCACAATCATATAGAACCAAAGGCAAAATTATAGTTTTGTATATTCTGCATTCTCTTGCGACAAGCGTTTCAAAGATTTTGGTATCTAGGAACATATCTACACGTATTAGACGTTCATCTATTTCTACCTGTTGAATAAAAATTTAATTCAGTGATTAAATAATATTGCAAGTACCAGCCGGAAGGTAGCGGGTTCGCGGCCCGATGAGGGAGATTTCTTTTTAATTTGACAAACCCTTCCGGCCACACTATGGCCCTGGGTTCGACTCAGCCTCTAACAGAAACGAGTACCAGGAATATTCCTGGGGGTGAATGTGCGACCGGCGCGTAAAGCTGACAACCTCACCGCCATCTGTGAGCCCATTCTTTTGAAAATATGGTAGCCTCGACGTCTCACAAACCTAAGGGCCCCTACGACTTGTTACAGGGATAGTTTTACCATTTTTTTCACCAGAATCCCTTGAATATTGACTTTAAATGTAACAAACAATATTTTTCAATAATTTTAATTCATCGGAAGTTCAGTGCTATTAGTTACGCCAAGAGTGGAATTTGTAAAGCACTAACATGTAATATAAAGCAATGTAAACACGTAAGCATGGAGATAATGCTATTTCCTCCTCCTATTTCTGAACGAGCTCTTTGGTGACAGTTTCTTCACTCTTCGTCTTCATGGTGAGTAGAAACAAGAAGAGGGAGATGGACTCGTTCATCATCTGGAGACAAAACAATAAATATTGCAGTGCGGAGCAGACACAGTTTCCAGTTTCTGTTGCTGACTACTGCGTGACAGCTTCTTCACTCTTCTCCTTCATGTTGAGTAGGCTACTCCGTGATAGTTTCTTCACGCTTGTCCTTCATGTTGAGTAGGCTACTCCGTGACAGTTTCTTCACGCTTGTCCTTCATGGTGAGTAGGCTACTCCGTGACAGTTTCTTCACCCTTGTCCTTCATGGTGAGTAGAAACATGAAGAGGGAGATGGATTGGTTCACCATCTGGTGACAAACAAATATCGCATTTTAATTTAGGATTCTAATGGAAATTAACTTCGTCAAAAAATGGCCTCAGTAATTTAAATAATTCCGGAAAGACAGTTACACTTAGGCTTTGCTGAAATACTAATTTGATGGAATAGCAACGTTCCTTAAACAGTGCTATTACTTAGAGGGAAACTTTTACCAAAGGTGGACGGTTTCACGACAGAAGAGCAAACCTATACCTAGTAAAGTAAATTCGATTCATGTTAATTTTATAATTAACTGAGGATATTTAATATTCATATTTGTTATTAAAACAATTGCTGTAATGTTTAGTAATGTAATCTACGTCACTGCATATTCTTCCGTGCTTAGGTTGGAGTAGGAATCGAATTGGCAGTTCACGGCGGCCACGCAGTTTAACTCATAAACTTTCTTCGCCCGCTTGAACACTGGGGTCGTGGATTCGAATCCTACTCGAGGCATAGATGTCTGCGTTTATTCCATGTATGTGGTGTCCTGTGTTTAGGTAGGGGCCTTGCGACGCGCTCATCCCCCATCCAGGACTCCTACTGTCTGCGTATAGGATTACGTATCTGAAAAAGCGTCGAAGGACCATAAAAGGTCTGTAGAGCCATTGATAAATGAGGAATATAAATGGCGACTGGCTACGGGCTTAAAGGCAGAGGGGTCGTAGTTCGAATCCTGGTAGCTTCAAGGATTTTGTCTACTCAAAGTCGTCAAGACCGGCTCTGGCGTCCACCCAACCTCCAATCCAATGCCTACCGGGGGCTACTTCTCCGGGGCTAAAGCGGTCGGGGCGTGAGGCTGATTATTCGCCTCCAGCTAGTGCTGAGGTGAAGAAAATGTGGATCTATGCATCCACTCCCCCATGCGCCTTCATTGTGTAGTGCTTATTAGTTAAGCACAGGGAGAACTTTACCTTTTACCTTATGAATATTCTTACGTTCATCATGGTCGAGTTGCACACCGGAACAAATTTTCCGGCTGTGAGTGTGAACTCCTTGTTGGCTGTGGCGATGATGAAGGCCAGACAGCGCTGAAATGGGACAGGAGTTCCCACCCAGTCGCACCCCCAGGCTGCGTCTCTCACCCTTTCAGCCTGAAACAGTAGCCCCTACGCATGTAACGGGTGTTTCAGAACGAATATGGAACATACCAGTCAGCGTGTACAAATATACTTACAGTTTCCACATACCTGTAGCGTGAGTTCCGTCCCAAGTCTGCAGTACAGATAAACAAAACACATTGTAACACTATACACGTAGAAAACTTGAGATATGTCGTTTATGTCACCCCAGCTCTAGAAGCAAAGATATATGTATTCAAATAAATACGCACACCACATTATTAAAATATAATTTCAAAATTATAGACTGCATCTATTAGCTCGTTATTATCTCTCATACGAAACAAGCTGAATAATTATTGCTATAATCTGGCATAATGAATTCTCGTGAATTAACTTAGAAAGAAATTTAGTAAAGTCGGCAAAATTCTCACAACAGAATTTACCCCCACAAATATAAAAATGGGCTAGACAACAGTGACTTCAACATAGAAACTATAGATATATTTCCACGTCTATGAAACATCAACAGAAATTTGTTTGTTTCAGTGTTTTTCTTAATTTTGTACACTGTGTACCAAAACGTACCTCTTCCATATTACTGAAAACAAAGTACTAATTTTCATTTCCGGTTCGGTGATGCATTGTGAGAGGGACACGAAACCACATGGAAGAAATTTTAATCGAAATATAAAGAGTTCTCAGAACACTGCATCCTTAAAATTTATTTTCATATATGCGCAAATTTTGTTCATTTTTCTCTCTTGTCACGCAGGTTACAAGAGGTGACTCGAAGTGGTTATTCAAGAATAATAAAGTTAAAGTTACCTGTAGTAAAGGAACTAGTACCATTTGTAACCTATATTTTCTGTGTTTCTGCGTGCGTTGAATCACTACAATGAAATTGAAGCATTTCCTCCCTTACATTGTTCTGAAGCGTCAGCGCGATTTCTGTGCAAATATTTTTTCTCGGTTTACATATGGAAAATTTAATTGTTCGCCTTTGTTTTCTGATGCATAAACTGAATTAACTTTTCGCCAATTTCGTGGTTTGTTTAGTATTCTGTAAACCCCTGTCTTTGGTCACGGAATATAAATATAGCTAACTTCATGGACCTGAACCAATTGTGCAACCACTCAAGAATACACCAGCATTTCATAGAAACAGTGTTCACAAGAGCCCTCCACTGGCCCTTTCCTGAGCCAGATTAATCCAGTCCATACCACAACCTCCTATGAATCTATGACACATTTCAGTATTATCCAGCCATTAAGTCTTGGTCTTTCCTTCTGACTTTCCCATCAATATCCTATATGCATTCCTCTTTGCTTCCATTCGTGCTACATGCCCTTCCCATCTCATCGTCCTTGATTTGATCATTCTAATTATATTATATTAGGTGGGTCCCTTGTCACCACGGCATGGCGCGTCCTCAGGTTGCGGATGGAGGAGACGGCCTCCAGATGTTGAGGATAGCTACGAATACACTGAATAAGCAGTAGCGAACAGTCGAAAATGAGTGGTCCTCCAGCTTGGGGTTGGGCGTGGAGCTAACAACTCACCGTAAAAAAATAAGCTAGTTATGAAATATATTTCTTCCATGATGTGTTTCTTTTTACAATCTTTTGGCATCTTATGACCAAATGTATTTTTTTCTGTGGAACATGCAATAAATAAGCAGTCTTATTCAGATGATGTTTACTCGGTAGTTATTATGGATCAACTGTGTAGATTACGTTACAAATTTTACAGATTGTTGGACACTAGAATAAATATATCTGTTCCTTTTCAATTTCAAACGGATATCTTAAACCAGACATTATCACTGAATACTCACTCTACATATCTTGAATAGGGAGAAAAGAATTTCGTTTATAACAAATGTTTCTTATAATTTTGTTCAAATACCTGTTTCAATGAACGGTATTATCGTCTGGGATGCGATGCAGTGCATTCCAATAGAAGTTGGCCGACGTTTCGGAGGAACTTAACCCTAATTCATTCACCTTCAGGATGGAAAATCAAGCCAATAATGTGGCAAACAAGAAGAAGGAGGCAAAGAAATTGAACGGCTTGATGCCTGTTTCTTGTCGGCTACTTGCTTTATCTACTATTCGAGCCTGAAAATGGATGCAGCATGTCTTCCGAAACGTCGGTGACCTACCGAAGCAATGGCATTATATTGCAAGGAAATACCATTTTTTAGCATTTATATTAATTTCAGGCTTCAGACAGTAAAGTGTTTGTCAATCTACATTCATGTGCACAAAGAATAAGTGTTCACATTAGAAGGAAGCGTGGTCCAAGCATCAGTTCACACTCAGAAAGAAATACTTTACCGTGACTGCAGAGAACGAAACAAAGCAGAGTGCAGCAAGCATTATTAGAAACGCACCACACAACGTGAAGTTTATTGTATCTTCTAATGCTCTCATATACCTGAAATGGTAAAAAAGATAATTAGCAGAATTGACATTACCCGTAAGTCACTTCCTGTAATGAACTCACGTGTACTCTGAAAGTAATGACGTACTGCAGTATGGCTTGATGGTGCCGAACGCACTCGTTCAGTTGCGTCTGCATGCGGCAGAACCCGTCCTCGGAGTGGGAAACTGACTCTTCTCCCCCATCACTGCCAGAGTCAGCTCCTGATGGAACCAGTTCTTGTTTTATGTCCAAGAGGTTCGTTCTGAGCTTCTGCAGCTGACTGCACGCGACCATAACCACCGTAGCATATAAGAGTGGGAAACTGAAAGAATTTGTCATGTAAATGGGTGTGGCGAATGTCTGGAAAGGAAGGGGAAAATATATAATTAAGACAATTTACTGACTCTGCCTCAATTCAACTACTTTTCGGTTAGTTTCATCAATTTTATGTGCCCTTTGTGTTTTCACGGTGGTGATGTTTTAAGTTGTGGTTTTCATGGTTGCTACTTTACGTATGGCTGTGTATAGATATCGGTCATTAAAGAACTCTCTTCTCTCGTCTTTATATAGTCAATCTACCCTACGAAACTAGGTTACGTCATACCTTTTGGAGCAAAGCTTAAGCAGTAAGGTCGCGCCATAGCTCAAGCGGTTAGTCGCTGGCTTCTCTCCGCTGCGGGCCGGGTTCGATCCCGGGTCTGGTAAAGTGGGTTTTATGGTGGACAAAGTGGCGCTGGAGCAGGTTTTCTCCGAGTACTTCGGTTTCCCCTGCCAATTTTCATTCCACCAATTGCTCCACAATCACCCTCACCTATCATCTGGGGCTGGTAAAATAGGCCAGAAGTGGCCGCAGTACAAGGGACTTAGTCCAACCCCACTAGCAAAAAAAAAAAATCTTAAGCAGTAAAATGCCTCTGTAACTCTTTGAATGCCTCAATGAAGCATGCCGGACATAGAATGGAGCAGCTGCTACCTAGTGATACACATAGAAATCCAATTACGTCTATTTCAGCTGTTTCACTTCCATTTGTAACTTATTTACTGACTCTCCCTCATATTACATGCATCTCATTCATTGTTTCTAATTTTTTTTGCGCGTCGTATATTGTGTGACACATTTGTAACGCAACGGTAGCAGAACCGAGAACTTTAACACTAGCTCTAAGTAAACCCGTCATTGCATACGATACAGTGGAGATATAGAATTACCTGCATGAAAATTGCGAGTTCGTACCCTGGACTGTTGACAGTGTCGAAAGGGTACCAGGCTGGGAACATTAATTCATGATATACCAACATCCGTACTCCTGATTGTAGTATGTGAAAAAAATATGAGAATCCAAGTATGTACATCCATAATTTCTGAAGGTGAGGTATCCATCCCGCTAGTGTATGGTGTCCGGTGTGAGGATCTCTGGTCGGCTGGTCTTCCCATGTGAAGGATTCCGTGAGACGAAGCAGACGCTCAAAATCATGTAAACGCCATCTGGAATACACAGAGATAAAACAAGAATTATTAAGAGCGGTGTCCTTGGGGGAAGTGACGCCATATTGTGTAGTAGAAAAATCAATATCCTTCTGTCATGAAAATTGGGATAGAAATTATTCCCAGAGTCTTTCATAACGATTTTAATAAAGAAATTGTACACTTCCTTCAACATACACAACGTATAACACGCAGTCACAAGAACATAATTCGACCTTGAATTTCATAACGATATTGCATTTTGTATAAGGTTTTACACAGTCACTGAATCACTCTGTATTTTATGTAGATATAACGATCGTATTGCAAGCCAATTTTAATAATTGATCTACCTTAGACTGAAATAATTCCACAATATTAATGTAGCTGAATTCAACAATCTGAAAGCCTTCATAAAATTCTTCAAATCGTTTCTGTGTACGATAATATCCATACAGAACGCGATATACAGAGCTATAGCATGGAGTACCGACAATACATTGTAGACGGAAATCAGTAGTGATGGGTTCCTCATGTAGACTGGGACACTTCCTGTTCTTAGCAATATTATAAGTATACGAAAGCGATTCCCCGTCACATCACACGCCTGTGGTTCCTTCGTTTTCATCACAAAATTCCTTACTTACAAGTACTAATACGTAAGAATGTGAAATGAGATAACTTTCTTATACGAACAGTTCAACTTTAGTGGCAGCACACGCACGGACATCTGCCACTCAGTCACTTCCTTGCTCAACTGAACTCTTCAGAGTGTCTACACAGGCTTGCCCAAGCTAAGGTCAGCTGTTTGTCGTGCAATATTTATGAGGCACGAAGGTCCTTCTGCGCTCTCGTGTTTGAAATGGGCGGTTACTGAAAGAACTACATAGTTTCCACCTGAAAAGTTAAATGCTCTCTATCGGGGGAAAAATGAATTACGACGCTAAAACTTGTAAGTAAAAGTACGAATAAATGTATAAGGGGTGGGCCCTTGCACCGCGACCTACAGTGATCTATAAGTAAGTATTTTCCTTATTGCTAGTGTGGTGGGACTAAGTCCCACTAAAGCTGCCACCATTAAATATTAGCATATTGTATATCTTTTATATAATTCCTTACTTATGACATTTTAAGAATTTACTCCGCGTCTGATTTATGCTATATCCATAGAAATGTTCCACTTACATCCTTTTTTCCACTTCACCAATGCAATTAGGTGTCACAGCTCAAAGTAATTCACATGCGGTAAGGTATTCTCTCCTTCACGCACTGATTAGAGGCTACGATGTGTCACTTTTACTCCCAATGCCCTTTGATACTTCTACGTACCTTGGTTACTATAGCTACTTGCTTTTGGCGTGGTACATTGAAGCTCTTGAAGAAGTTGCGCAAGTTACTCTTCAGTTAAAAAAGAATTTGAAGCATCTGAGATGCTCACAGCGGTGGATATGAAGATTAGGCTATCTTCTGAGATACAACTCCGTGTATTCTGTTGAAAACCAACCGACGTTTTGGAGGAACATATCGCTTCCATCGGGGCACGCGGTAGCGTAGTTAGTTGAGGTACTCTGCTACAAGTCGGAAGGTCGCGGATTAGAGTCCCGAGGAGGTGGATTTTTTCGATTGACCTAATCTTTCCAGCCGCACTGCGGCCTTGTGGTCGACTCAGTCTATAACAGAAATAAGTACCAGGAATCTTCCTGGGGTAAAGTGCGGCCGATGCGTAAGGCTGAAAATCTTACCTCCATCTGTGAGCCTACTGTATAGATAATGTGGGAGCCTCGACGTCTCACAACCCTATGGACTTCCATGGCCTGTTAAAGGATAACTTTATCTTTTTACCGCATCCGTCTTCAAGGTCGAATCAGACGCGAAAGATCTTAAGCTTATATTTTGCTCGCATTATTCGACCCTGAAGATGGATGCGATATGTTCCTCCGAAATGTCGATTTATTGTCAACAGACTAAACGGCATTATATCCTAGGAGGTAAGTACTCTTCAACTTCCTGCATTGCTTACCGTCACTTTCAGAAGGGACACAGGGAATAATAAATATTATTTCTATCTTATTCTCTGTTCGAACACTGGAACCAAGCTGTACGGGGTCTCCCTAAAGTAGATTTAACTTCCGTGCAATAAATTCGCCGAAGGGAAATATAAATCCAAGTATCGAGGTGCATTGTCCCAGTTGGTGTCCTCACGTGACTGGGACGATGCCCCAACCGTGCGTGAGTCCCTCCCAACACCAGTGAGCATGTCTGCAGACACGCAAACAGTTGAACCAGTTTTCTAACATTCTGCGGAATGGCGGGAGGGCGGCTATCAGCTTCATCAGGTGACCGGGGGTCCCCGGCAATTGGTTTTCCTTAACCAATCCATGGAACGGACAGGTAGCGTTCAGGTATGCCCTCCCCATCACAAGAAAAAGGGGTGGAGAGCCGTGTAGCCGATCGATGACTCTTGCCACCAAGTATAACAGTTACTTGGTGTAACTGAAGGAAAATGAAGCATGCAAATGGAATAATTCGGGAGTTTCGGAGAAGGGTTAGAAGCTTGAAGAATGGGGTTCGAGTCCCTATAAAGGCAAGAGAACTCTCTCTTCCCCAGAGCATGCAGACAGGCTCTGGTAGGCCTAGTCAGCCTCGTATCCAATAGGTACCGGGAGCTCTTACCCCGCGAATAAAGCGGATAGGAAATGAAGTAGATCAATCATCAAATCCGGTGCCGAGGTTAAGACTGCGGGAAGCAACACCTCCATTTCCTCATATGTCTTCATGTCGTGGTGCTTTATTAATTAAACATACATAACACTTTAATTTTATCATAAAAATAAACGAAATTTTAGATAAAAACTGTTATCAGCGCTATGTGCGGCTGAGATGAGAACTAAGCGACGGAACAAAATACGTCCGTAATGCGTCAAATTATTTCATGAAATAATTCCTCTTTATATTTATTACGATGGTTGCAAAATTATAGGTTAAGGAAAAAATACACATTAATGAGTCTTGTCGTGTTGTTATACATCCTTACCGCCTCAAGAATTCGCTGAAAAAATGCATTCGATTGTACATGTGGAAGTGAGATTCAAAATATTTATTTCTAACATTGTAAGGACTAATTCTTCACAGCCTTTAAACTGGATAAAACAATGGTAAGAGAGAAAATAAGACATTTATATTCACTAATAACTGTTAATGCTATACAGGGTGTATCAAAACTCAACGGCAAAACTTCAGGCTCGGACACCTCATATACAGAGGTAACTCGGTAACATCCTACAGGATTATATCATGAGGCATTAAAATTCAGTCAATATCCTATTCGTTTAATAAAATTTTAGTTTTGTCATCCGATAATGTCTAGTTCTTGCAAGTGGTCTATTCCCCTCAGGAAATCGACTAATATTTTGTACACACATATCATTTTCCCATGCATACTGCATGTGTCACCCATCTTATCCTCGAGTTTATCACACTGCCACGTGTCGGATAGCTCTGTAATTATGCATTTCCGGACCCATGTTGCCATACACTTGTTTTCGTCTTTCTATATGAGCAGTCCCTTCCTGAATTTTGCCGTTGACTTTTGATACATTCTGTATAAATGAATAATTCATGTAGTTCACAACAGCAATCATCTATAAATGTCACATACCAAATAAAGTGTATGTAAACAATAACAATCGTACATAAGTAAACTGGACTCCAAAATATGTAGAGCCAGTTCGTGTGAACATAGGAGTTTATTCCACAAATTTACAAGTCGATAATGACGTCAATAAGAGACAGCTTGATATTAATATATTTGAAACTTTTAGAATTTTAAACAAATTTTGACAGAAATTTAGTACGTAGTGCTACAAAAACGACTGAAGAAAAGACGTTTATTATGATAATATAGAGTTATTAATTTAAACTTCAATCATAACTTATTGAGCATAGGCAAAATGTCCTTTATTCTTAAATTATAGAGTTCGTAACTTCTTGATATTGGAGCCCATAAATTATAAAAATTTACTCTCCTTCACTTTAAGTGAAGCGTGTATTACATGTCCCCATTTTCTTGACACTTCAGTTCTGCTTTATCTGAAAGTAATCTGAAACCCAAAACCAATCTCAAGACATCGAATACTAGTTTTATCTGTGCAACATTTAAGGTGATGCCAATACTCGATCATGGTGCTGAGCTCTTCTTGAGAAGCCTCCAATTGTGCAAATATTCAAGAACTTTCCAGCATTTTGTGGAACCCGAAGTTTCATTACCGTGTTCACAAGAGCTCCCCACCAGTCCCTATCCTGAGCCACATGAATACAGTTGATCTCCTTCGTCGAAACCCACACTGACGATCCCCAACTAAAGAGGGTGTATCAAAACTCAACGGCAAAACTTCAGGAATGGATTTCTCATGTAGAGAGATAACTCGGTAACATCCTGCGGGATTATATCATGAGGCAGTAAAATTCTGCCAATATCCTATTCTTAAAAAAAAATAGTTTTAACATCCGATAATGTCTAGTTCTTGCAAGTGGTCTATTCCCCTGCGGAATTCGACTAATATTTTGTACACGCATATCATTTTCCCATGCATACTGCATGTGTCACCCATCTTATCTTCGATTTTATCACTGTCACGTGTTGGATAACTCTGTAATTACGCATTTCGGGACCCATGTTGTTACACACTTGTTTTCGTCTCTCTATATGAGCAGTGTGCTATGGCATGGAAATGAATGTGGAAAAATCAAAAGTATTGAAAATTTCGAGACAACCAACCACAGTCACAATAAAGATAGACCAAAAACAACTGGAGAATGTGAAAAGATTGAAGTATTTGGGTAGCTTGTTAACAGATGATGGAAGGTGTACTTGTGAAATTAAATCTAGAATTGCCATGGCAAAAGCTGCATTTAGCAAGAAGAACCTATTTACCAGTAAATTGGACTTAAATTTGAGAAAGAAACTAGTGAAATGCTACATTTGGACATGGCTTTGTATGGGGCTGAAACTTGGACACTTAGGGCAGTAGATCAGAAACATCTGGAAAGCTTCGAAACGTGGTGTTGGAGAAGGATGGAGTAGATCAGTTGGACCGATTATGTGAGAAATGAAGAAGTGTTAATTAGAGTCAGTGAGCAGAGGAATATCCTACACGAAATAAGAAAACGGAAGGCTAATTGGATTGGTTATATCTTACGCGGTAACTGCCTTCTAAAAGAAGTTATCGAAGGAAAGATAGAGGGGCGGATAGAAGTGACCAGAAGACGAGGACGAAGACGTAAGAAGATGCTGGATGACCTTGGGGACAGAAGAGGATATGTTCATTTGAAGGAGAAAGCTCTAGATCGCAACAAGTGGAGGAACTGTTTTAGAAGAGATTGTGGACCTGTCGTCTTGACAGATTACTGATGAATGAATGAATATGAGCAGTCCGTTCCTGAAGTTTTGCCGTTGAGTTTTCATACACCCTGTATGCCAATACTAAGAACATAAATAAATACATATGAAATCAGGCAGTTTGTTTGTCCGTCCGCATGATTTCAATTGCAGAATTGCTGGAAGAATTTTAAAATACAGTTAATTTGAATGTTATGCAATAACAGGCTTCAGCATATCCATAATATTAACCTGATAGGATCGGTATGAACAATGGCTTAAGTGCGCAATTATGAGTTGCGTTTGACACTAGCGCCAATGGCTAATGCATTAACCATACTGACAAACAGTAACCATGGTAACCATAGGAAGCATTATTATTATTATTATTATTATTATTATTATTATCATAATTTTGATTGCTCTACAGCCCTGTGTTTGGCCTTGGCTGTTTTTTCAGTTTTTTGACCGTATACACAGTCTGTAAGTCTCCTTGGACGGGAGATCAGGCCGTCGCAAGGCCGCTACCTACACACAGAATAACATAAACACAGAATAAACGAACACATTTCAGCCAACCATCCTCGCGTCGAGCTGATCTCCCGTCCAAGGAGTCCTACCGTCTGTAAAAAAAGATCATGAAGCTGAGAAACCAGCCATTCCCTTCAGTGGGAACGAGAGGAGAGGAGAGGAGAGACAGCCAACCATGTCTTGAGTGGAATTCGAACCCATGATTCCAGCGTTCGAGCGAGCGAAGAGAGTTAATGCCGCAGGCAGTGCGGTCACTGTGATCGACAACAGGAAGCACAGTGACCAATTTTCGAGCTTTGAAAAATTACTTATATTATTCAAATTTGAATTCTTTGGTTGGGGGACTTGATCTATGTCATACAACGGATTGTAGGCATTTATATTATTTGAATTTTATGTAAATATTGGGTAATTCGAGAAGAAATATGTATAACAGAGTAACAAGCGGTTAGTCGCTGGCTTTTCACCGCAGCGGCCCGGGTTCGATCCCGGTTCTTGTCAAGTGGATTTGTGGTGGACAAAGTGGCGCTGGGGCAGGTTTTCTCCGAGTACTTCGGTTTCCCCTACCAATCTTCATTCCACCAATTGCTCCACAATCACCTTCACCTATCATCTGGGGCTGGTACAATAGGCCAGAAGTGGCCGCAGTACAAGGGACTGAGTCCCACCCCACTAGCAATAAAACGAAAGGAAGAAAATGGCTATGTCGATATATATGCTTGATGCTGTGTTCTTGCAAAGTTATAACAGATATATTACACTAGTATTGCAGTAAATGTCGTTCTCTAAAGCTGAGAATATCAAGTTGTCTTGTGTTTTCTATATTGTGAGAAGTAAGTGCCATTCTTTGTTGGTAGTGTAGAGCACTTAATAATGTAGTTTCCTGCTTGCTGAGAGTGTAATTTGTGAAACACATTTGTTGCATATTTTTCTTCTTTCCATTAAGTGAAGTTTGACATAAATCAGTTTTACAATCTGATGCTAAATTTTTTATGACCTGCAAACCGAGTAATCACATACAGTGAGGGACCGCATTTCGTATTTTGTCAAAAATAGTTTTCTTGAAACATTGTGCAATTCGTTATGGAAACTGTTGAATCTGTAGATCAGTATTAGGGGACAAAACACAATAAATATTGCAGTGTCGAGCAGACACAGTTTCCAGTTTCTGTTGCTGAGTAGGCTACTCCGTGACAGTTTCTTCATTCTTGTCCTTCGTGGTGAGTAGGCTACTCCGTAACAGTTCTTCATTCTTGATCTTCGTGGTGAGTAGGCTACTCCGTGACAGTTTCTTCACTCTTGGTCTTCATGGTGAGTAGGCTACTCCGTGACAGTTTCTTCACTCTTGTCCTTCATGGTGAGTAGGAACATGAAGAGGGAGACGGACTCGTTCATCATCTGGTGTCAAACAAAATATTTAATATTTTATAAACAATTGTTACACATTTATGTAAAGGAAATCGAAGTAAATAAAATACTAAGAACAGACTGTGCCCAGAGGACATGGCTCAGTAAAGTGAAAATGTTCTGGAAAGGCAGCTACAAGTACGCAAAACTTGACTGAATAACAGTATTCAGTGGGGGATGCTACAATCCAGAAGAATCGTTCTCCTACATATGGAGAGTGGAATACTAAATCAATTGTAATAGTTTATAAGTTGGATATTGTTCCCAAACCTCGATTTCTTATTGAATATGTGCTATACTTTTTATTGCACTTAGTATATACGTATATAGTATATATATGTACGTTCTAACCATTTACAATTTTTAAAAAAAGCATTAGACTGAAGTTGTTAGAAATTTGATATGTGCTCGGAGAGAGTTCCATCTAAAGAGATAGCTGATTGAATCAGTTTATATCGGTACATGTGCACTGGACATTTGTATAAGCTGTGCCAGCCTCTTTAAGAATACGAGATATTTTCCCGTACCTGAACAGTTCGTGGAATAGACTCAAGGAAATTTGTGTCTTTTCAATTTAACTTATTTTTACTATTTGCATTTTATTCTACATTTACGCACAGTGTATTTTACTAAATGTTTCTTAAGATCTCAGAAGTTCGTGACGATGGTAAATTAATAAAATGATAGACATATTTAGACGTTGCCCATATTTCTAGTTTTATTTAAAATATCGCTTCTGAGACCGGACTTCCTTTCCGCTGCCTTGCAGGAAAAACACAACTCAATTTGGTCCACTCGAAAAACAATTCCTTGTCTTCAGGCAAGAGAACCAAAGTAAGGCAGGCCATATGAATGAAAGAGAACAAACCATTTGCTGGAGTTCAGAGAAAATTTTAGGACGCCACGTATGTGAGACGTGAGACGTATGAGACGTATGTGTCGCATGCAATTGGCGTGATGGTTTCTGTAGTGTGTTGTTTGTATGTCCTACCTTGTGCTGGTTCTGATATCCGAAAATAGGGACTGGTTATATGAGTTGGGCCCAGCTAACTTGAATTGCTTTTTACCTGAGGACGGAGACAGATTCGAATCTCCGAAACATTTTCCAAATTAAAAATAGGACGGTATACAGGTTGTATCAAAACACAACGGCAAAACTTCAGGAACAAACTCCTAATATACAGAGACGAAAACAAGTGTATGACAACATGGGTCCGGAAATGCATAATTACAGAGTTATTCGACACGTGACAGTGTGATAAAATCAGGGATAAGATGGGTGACACATGTAGTATGCATGAGAAAATGTTATGTATGTACAAAATATTAGTCAAATTCCTGAGGGGAATAGACCACTTGCAAGAGCGAGACATTATCGGATGATAAAACTAAAATTTTATTAAAAGAATAGGATACTGACTGAATTTTACTGCCTCATGATATAATCCCGCAGGATGTTACCGAGTTATCTCTCTATATGAGGAGTCCGTTCCTGAAGTTTTGCCGTTGAGTTCTGATACAACCTGTATATGGTCCAAATATGAATCATTTAAAATGCTTGCAGAGCAGGTCACATGTCTCGGGATCACCCTAGATAGCAAACTAAGCTGGCGTCCACATATTCTCAAGAAACGCAAGCAAATGGACCTCAAATCTGCAGAGCTCAACTGGCTGCTTGGCAGAAAATCCAACCTCTCCCTTTCAAACAAACTGCTCATCTACAAAACAGTTATCAGGCCTGTATGGACATATGGCATCCAACTATGGGGAACCGCATTCAAATCTACAGTCGACATCATCCAATGTTCACAATCAAAAATCCTAAGAACCATAACCGCTGCACCCTGGTGCATCTCAAACCGCACTCTACATACTGACCTCAAAGTACAGCACGTCACGGAAGTTATCCGCCAACACAGCTCTGCCTACGTCAACAAACTTAAAGAACACGACAACCCGCTTATTCGTCCCCTATTACTGCCACCGATTAACAGACGTCTAAAACGCAAATCACCGCAAGACCTATGGCTATGAGGTGAACATCGATGGATGTCGCCCACTCACGTCATGTAAGGTGTGCATTAATCTGCACACTAGTCAGCACATTGGCTTAAAGAAATGTATATTTCAGATTGTCAATAACTATAAATAAAAAAAAAATTCAAATGCTTCTTGTTTTGATAGAAGACACAAAACTTCTTCCTCTTCAATATGGAGGTTATATATAAAAGGTGTTGCTGAAAATGAGGACAGTTTCCGAAATATTGGCATCTTACTGAATAACAACGCGGCTAATTTTCCGAAGTCACATGTTCGCATTCAGTCTTCTCGGAAACTTTAGATGTTAAAGAGTTTTGGACTTTGGAGGTACATGTAATGAGCCTAATGTATTTTAAATCATTCCATTTTTTATGGACTCGCATGTCCTTACACTCATCATGGTCGAGTTGGACACCGGAACAAATTTCCCGGCTGTGAGTGTGAACTCCTTGTTGGCTGTGGCGATGATGAAGGCCAGACAGCGCTGAAATGGGACAGGGGTTCCCACCCAGTCGCACCCCCAGGCAGCGTCTCTCACCCTTTCAGCCTGGAACAGTAGCCTCTACGCATGTAACAGATGTTTCTGAACGAATGTGGAACATACCAGTCAGCGTGTACGAATATAATTACAGTTTCCCCATACCTGTAGCGTGAGTTCGGTCCCAAGTGCACAGAACAGACAAACGTAAGACATCATCATTGCATATATGACGAGAATTTGTATTAAGTCGATTATGTCTCCCCAGCTCTGGATAAAAAGGAACATTTGCTTAGAAACGTGCAAGTATACATACAAAAATGTTTTTCAAATATTCATATTCCCTTTCAGGTCCATCATTTTACGTAGTATGAAAAACGTGAGCTAAATGCATTTACCTGGAATATATATGTATGTGTCAAGGCAAGAGTAGCCTGAATGAGAGGCCTACATTATGAGACGAGAGTAAAGTCAACAATTCGTGTTTTTGTTCGTTGTGCTTAAGTTACTGAAAAGTGTTCATATTTTCGTAATATGAGTTATAAATATTTAGGAAATGGACATTATTATAAGATCTCTTTTATAATTCCCCAGGGGATGATGTAGTGTCGTTGGCTGAGGCACTGTGCTGCAAGCCGAAAGGTACTGCGTTTGATTCCGAACGTGATTAGATCTTTTTAATTGACCATACCCCTCCAGCCTCACTATGGTCCTCATGTCGACTCAGTCTCTAAAAGAAATGAGAATCATGCATCACCCTTGGAATAAAGGGCGTTCGGCGCGTAAGGCTGACCATGTCACTGCCCTCTGTAAGCTGACTGTCTACCAAAAGATTGAGCCTGGACGTCTCACGATCATATGGGCTTCCACGGCCTGTTACATGGGGTAGCTTTATAAATTGTCAGTTCCTTTAGCCATATGACATATACACGTAGATCTTGATATGGTAAAATTTGTAATAAATCTTCTGATCGTGCACTCAGATGTAAAATTGAGTGCTCCGACCAGACGAAAATTTAGCTGAAAATCACTGCATACTCAGAATGAGATACTTTACCGCGACAGCAGAGAGGGAAAAAAAGCAGAGTGAAGCAAGCAGCATCAGGAACAGACCACAAAACGGGAAGTTCAGTGTGTCTTCCAGAGTTCGCATGTACCTGGAATTGTAAAAGGAGAAGTTACAAGATTGACACTATCTGTCAGGAATGTGGAGTGGGGATGGCTCGGGTGGTATAAGAACCGGCTACTGGGTGGACGGCCGGTGTTGGATTCCCAGCGACATCCAGGCAGTCCCTGGTGCCCAATCAGCCATCTGTTAGCCTGAAGTAATTCTCGGAGGTAAAGCGGCATGGACGTGTAGGTGACCACTCAACACTATCTAGTACCGAGGTCGAGAGAACCATACTTATAGTTGTGCCCTGGATATCAACGGATATGCTTTTATTTAGCGAGGTGGCGATACTATGCGCAGTTTGTTAGAAATTTTTTGTAAGTTTTGTAAGTCAGGTTACGTTAGTTGAACCACAGGTTGGTCAGCCGGAAGCCAGAGTTAAGAAAATCTTTAGACGTAACTTATTGCTCAGGCATTGACAAATCGGGTGAACGACACAGAGGCAAGTCCCGCTTTCGCACGACAGGTTATCGGTCAGTAAGAATTTGCCGGTTTTAGGATTTTGAGTGAACAGAATTTTCACGAGTTGCGAAAATGTTGAATAATTGTTGTGGCTCGGACAGGGGAAGCCCCGAGGACTCTTGACTCTCGCAGTCGCTCGCAGCAGTCGACTCTAGAAATCGTGTGGTAGGAAGGAGACTCGATGGCGTCAGCTATCTTCATTGGCACCGTCTTTTATAAGCATGAGTAATTGCCCGTGGTCGGATCACTGATGTTTTTTAATATGTAATATCGGTTTCCCTGATTATGTAATCAATTGCCATTTGTTAGTGGATTGTTAGAATAAAATTAGCTACATGATAATAGCATATAAACTTTGGTTCATTAATTGTTAAAGAAAAATTTTTATTTATTGATTGTTTATGAAAATGCATAAATTTTTAGTTATTGGGTGATTATTAAGACACAAGAATCTGGTTTAGTAATTATATTTAGAATGTAACATTTGGTACGTTAATTGTTGGTTAAAATTTGAAAGTTGATTAAACGATTCACTGTTTGGAACGAAACTTGTTTCATTGTTTGTAAATTGTGAAACTGATCCATTGATTGGCTGCTAGGACGTAATTTGATTCACTAGTTCCTTTTTGAATATACCAACTTTGGCTCGCTGATTGAATGTTACGATAGAGAATGTGGTTTGTAGTCGTTAATAGGTGATATTTTTGGTCACTATAAGATGGTTAGCGTACGAACTTTGGTTTATTGTTAAGATAAAAATTCTAGTTAGCGTATGATGGTTAGAGTATGATTTTGGTTTGTGTTACGTAGGTTGATTACACTGTAGGTAGTTAGTTTTATGAAGTTAATGTAGAGTAATGACAAATTATATATATTAAAAGTGTTGTATGTACGTACTTGTTGATTTGATTATATTTGTCTTTGTTTTCACATTTTGAATGTGTATTGGGGTATTTGTAATAATTAGTTCACCGGGTGGAGTAGGAGCTATCCACAGATGTCCGATAGGGGGCGAGTAGAGTTATTGACCCCCATCTGGGCACAATAAAACTGGTTGGCAGATGCAAAATATGATAAGGATTTTGATGACGCAATGGGGCGGCCCAACAATATCCCTCCACTCCCCCATACGTCTTCACGCCGTAGTGGTAAACTAAATGAGCAGAGGGACAGCCTTACCTTTACCATTTCCTATAATGAACTCACGTGTACTGTGAAAGTAATGACGTACTGCAGTATGGCTTGATGGTGCCGAACGCACTCGTTCAGTTGCATTTGCATGCGGCAGAATACGTCCTCGGAGCGGGAAACTGGCTCTTCTCCCCCGTCACTGCCAGAGTCAGCTCCTGATGGAACCAGTTCTTGTTTTATGTCCAAGAGGTTCGTTCTAAGCTTCTGCAGCTGACTGCACGCGACCATAATCAGCGTAGCATATAGAAATTGGAAGCCGAGGAAAGCGCTCAAGATGAAGTTTGCTGCAAATATCTACAAGGAAAACTATAACTTAGATATTTATATACATTTTCTTAAGAATATTACGTTTTCCATTGTTTTATACATTTCTATGGAATTTGAGTGAAAGTGAAGGTAAAATAATGTTTGTATATCTGCAGTATGTCACACAAACGGAAGTGCTTATTATTTTGAGGTAGGCATATGTGTTTTGTCGACTTTGAGGTGTGAGTTTACTTCTTTCATAATCAGTGCAATAGTCGTGCCTTGAAATTATAGGCAGCAGGTTTCTTCGCAACTTGGATAGCATTCTGCCCGACTGAACGGCACCACATTCCATCAGAGAGGCATCTTCATAACTATTTCTTGCTGTAATCAGACAACACTGTGATTCATATCGTGGTTATAATCAGGCTGCAGCTATATTCATTTTCAGGTCTCTGTCAGGTTGTCCATTTGAATTGTACCCTAGCTGAAATGTCGTAAATATAACCCCTACATATTATCACCCGTTTTATAAAAAGTATATGTATTTTTGATTATAATGTTTTATTGTGAAAAGTAGAAACGTATTGTAACATGTTGCGCGACTGAGAACCCCCCCCCCACCAGCAGTGACGCGGCGGGTAAGTCAGCGCTCTCCTCCCCCCTCCTCCCCACGGTAACGTAGCGCTCCCCGCCAGCCCTCCGCGGTGACGTCACGCGGTGACACTCATTACGCCACAGGCAAGCACTGCAGCTATATAAGTGAGCTGCACAGTGCGTTACGATCGAAGTTCTACTGTAGCAGCCGCCTGACGCAGTTGTACTGTGATATCCGCCGAGTTGTAAAGTAACAGTCAGCCGACTACAGTTGGAGTATAGCAGCCGTCGCGGAAAGAAGAACCGGACGTGTGTGTAATTGTGTAATTGGGAGTGTGTGTGATACAGTGATACACAGCTTCCCTACCGTATACGTGTAGACTACTGAAGACAGAGTGAGCTGATTTGCGCATAGGGTTATAAAGTGTGAAACCCCGCAACAGCGGTAACAGATTAATGCGATTAGGGTTATAAAGTGTGAAACCCCGCAACTGTGAGATAATTGATTGTAGCCGTTATTTGTAGATTGTTAAATAAACCAATTAACCATCTCTACGGCGTCTTC